AAAAGATCCTAGGGATGGAGATTACTAGAGATAGGAAAAATGACACCTTATTCTTGTCTCAGAAGTCATATATTCAGAATGTTCTAGCAGGGTTCAACATGCATGAGGCTAAGCAGGTTGCAACACCTATTGGTCAACACTTTAGATTGTCAAACTCTCAAGCACCAGAGACTGAAGAGAGACTGAAGAAGACTGAAGATGAGAAAAGGTACATGGAGGGTGTCCCTTATGCCAACGGTCTTGGTAGCATCATGTATGGGATGATCTGCAGCAGACCAGATTTGTCCTAAACCGTCAGCATTGTAAGCAGGTTCATGGAAAACCCAGGACAGGCTCACTTGGAAGCACTAAAATGAATCATGAGGTACCTGAGAGGCACTACAGACCCGAGTCTACTCTTTAAAATGCAGGAAGACAAAGAAGAAAAGGTAGTTGGTTACGTGGACTCCGATTATACAGGAAGCATTGACACCAGGAAGTCACTGACCGGGTTCATTTTCACTGTCTTCGATACATCAGTCAGTTGGAAGTCTAACCTCCAATCTGTTGTGGCCCTCTCAACAACAGAGGCTGAATACATCGATGTGACTGAAGCAATCAAGGAAACTATGTGGCTAAAGGGCATGACTGAGGAGCTCAGGATACATCAGAAGGTGATAACTGTGTTTTGTGACAACCAAAACACCATTCACCTAACCAGAAATCAGATATTTCATGAAAGAACCAAGCATATAGATGTAAGGCTTCATTTTGTGAGGGATGTCGTCTCCAAGGGTTCAATAGTAGTGAAGAAGATACCTACTGAAGAAAATCCTGTTGATATGCTCACCAAGGTGCTATCGACAGCTAAGTTCAGACATTGTCTGGACTTAGTAAACTTCACCAAGGGCTGAGGGCCTCTCAGGGGCCAGGTGGAGGGAATCTTTACTTCGAAGTCTCTCAATTGAGGGTCAAGGTGGAGAATTGTTATTTTGACCCCCAATTAATGAACTAAGGTAAAAGGACACTTTTGTAAATTGGTACCGCTCACCTATCACATCTCACCTACCACTCACCTATCGCTCACCTAGCTCCCACCTATCTCCCACCTATCACTCTCTTGCTTCTATAAATAGAGAGGGTGTGAGGCTTAGGAGAGTAAGGGAAGAGATCTTAAGCTACCACAAAGGAGGAGAGAATAGCTAGAGAGCTAGAGAGGAGGAGAGCATCTTGAGGCCTTGTATCAAGGTGTCGCTTGAGAGGGAGGCCATAGAAGGAAGATGAAGGCTCGTCTCTATGTATAAGCTATGTATTCTCCATTTCTTTTGCCTTAGTGGAATATTTGATTGATTCCCTCACGTGGACGTAGATCCAGTTGGATCGAACCACGTAAAAAATCTGTGTTTGCTTGTGTTTTTTGAGTTTCATTTCTATGTCAGGAAGTACATATCTCACAACAGCCACAAAAATAATTTGAAACAATAATCATTTTGAAATGACATCTCATACTTTGGTGAGGTGTGCATCCAAACAGGGCAGTAATGGGACTCGCCCAAAGTGAGATCCACTAATCCTAATATTTGTTAATACCCAAATTCAAGTTGTAATATAGGTTAAAATTGAACTTAAAACTCATTTTTAAGGCATTAATCACTTTATTTGAAACCATCCAACAAATAGAAATTAAAATTAAATTTAAATATGAATCGACATTGAATATTATAAGTTCATTAGAAGTACACTACTCTAGCCCACACATTACAATTGATTGCTAGGCCACCAATCTGGATGTGGTCATCTGTGGAGTATTGTTATAAATTGATGTGATAATTTTTGTGCATTAAATTACTTGATGCTATGTCGATTCCTTATACACTAGATTTGATATTAGATTAAAATGGGCTCTTTTTATTCATGTCGATGATGAAATGTTCGATCCACATCTGGTTGAACTTTTCCCACAACTTGCCTCACACAACTGGTTCGGCTTTCATCAACATGAGGTTACTAGAGGTGAAGTTCTTCTCTCGGATGTGTTTGTTGCAATACCAAGTTGTTCTCCTCTTCACCTTCTCTCTCTGAAGGGCCGAACCAACTCGTTCCTTCTCAGCAAGATCACGCCCGAGCCTCACTCTCTTGTCAATTACTTCTTACTCAATTAATTCCACTTCGTCTACTTCCGCGTAGCTTGAAAATTTGATTGTTAGTAAATATTGAAAGTCCCTAACTTAATTTTTGTGAGGACAATAATTCTAATTTAAATTTGAGAGGTAAATATAGCAAGTGAAAGTATCTTCTCTGACTTAAAATCCTAAAAACTTAGTGTTTACAAAGTGACATTTTTATGGAGACCATCATGAATAAATTTCATCATTAACCCCTCCCTATGGAAATAAAAAAAGTTATGACAATTAACCAATTTAGTTCCCTAAATTCGGTGAAATTCTCAATATGATGTATATCCTTATAAGATAGCACTAAACCAAGAGGAATATTCTTATTATCCTAATTAATGAATGTTAGCATGATTGTTCCACTTAGGATTCTCTTGAAACTCAAAGTTCACAATGATATTTAACAATTTAACTCGTCAGATCGAATGCAATGAAAATTTAAAAGATAAAATACCACCACAACATTGTTTCATACAAGTCACATAAACAACATCAAAACACTAGAATTTCTACTCACCAAATAAGAAGAGAAAAGAGGACTAGTGATTATTTGTGTTTTGAAACAATAAAATAAACATTCTCTTAGTTAAAGTCAGTAAAGTACAATGTGACTTTAGAAGTAAAATCCAGTAAAAAGAATACACCCTAAGTTATAAATTTGTCTTCTCTATTCACACAATCCTATCGAATAGCTGCTCGCAAATCCTCACAAACTCTATGACTCTCACTTAGAATGTCGCTCTCACTCACACAAAAAGAAAATGAGAGAAATGTAAAAAATGTGATTCTCAAAATGCTCGAGAGGTCTCCCTTTCTTCAGAAAAATTCGCCTTTATAGTAGCTCATAGAAATCACTACGCAGGCATCAAACACCATAACTAAGTAAAGTTGTCAACATAGGGGTTTCTCCTTGGAATGTCAGGATCTACTCAACCTGTAAGGAAGCAGCATTGGGTTCAAGTAGGTGGCGCTTAGGCGCCAAAAGAAAGATGCAACAACTATGTAGGGGGTTCATAGGTGCCTCATACATGGTGCCAAGGCGCTTGGCACTCGGTTTGCCTGAGTGCATGAGTGGTGCCTAGGCGACCATAAGGTGGCACTTAGGCGCTACTTAAGCCAACATGGACTTTGTGGCTTAATGGCTCCATTGAACTCGTGTTTGTATTAGTTGTCTTATATTTCACTCTAATATTTGCTAATGCGTCATTTAAAGCTTTCATAAATATTTGTATCTTGCAAATGCACAAAAATACATAAAAAATATAAAAATGAACAAAAAATAAATAAAGATGCAAGAAAATGCAGATATATTTATCACATATTTTGAACATATTTGTTACATAGATCGTAATTGGTCACATAGGCTATAATAGTTGCAAAAAAAGTTTGTAGGTCAGAGAGACTAGAATTGGGAGTTGCAAGAGTTATGAGTCACATAGGTCATAGTCGATCACACAGATCTTAGTGGTGAGATGTGATAATGCCCTTGAGCTAGAGAGGCCAGAGTTGAGAGTTGCAATGAGCTATGAGCCACTTAGGCCATAATTAGTCACATAAGTCATAGTAGTAAGCAACAATATGGCCGGAAGTCGTCCAAGGTTCGAAGTTGCAATAACTTTTATAGACCACAGAGCCCGAAGTTTGGAGTTGCATGAGTTCTGAGTCATGTAAGTTATAGTTAGTCACATAGGCCAAAATGATGAATTGCAAGAGTAACAGTTTGCCACCAAGGCCATAGAGAGAAGCTGCAAGAAGAGAACTTCAAGAGTCTGAAGAAATTTGTAGTATGCTCGGTATGGCGGTCATAGGCCATTGGGATCTATTGCTAGATCTTCTATATATCATCATTAATTTCATTGTATTGGTGTTATGTTACATTGGATTCATGGTGGATTGTTAAACCATATTGGACGTGTTTCCTTACACCGTATTTTGGATATGTCATTACACTACATTCAGGGTGTGTCATTCCACCGCAGCGTACATCATGACTTCTTAAGGAGTTTTATTGTAACGTGCATCGTTACTCCGCAAGGTCCATTGATGGCGATAAGCAAGGGTGGCTAACGATGATTGATAACAGCCTACGAAGCCTACGAGGGGTGATTGACAGTGGTCGACGGTTGCTAAAGCATAAAGTGTTCGTCGGCTCTTTGGTCCAAAGCAGCACTAGAATTGGACTTCTTCTCTTTGTCCAGCTCTAGGTCTGTGACCGCCACACTCCCCTCACACACACACAGAGAAACTTCATGAAGGGGATAAGGCTCTCTTTATATAATTTGGGAGTGGCATCCCCCTTAATTAAGGGTCGGTTTGGGGCAGCTGCAGCTTATCCTGATAAGTTGCTGATCAGCAGCTGATCCGGATAAGCTGGTTGGTTGTTTGGTTTGTGTGTTTGGAAAACAGCTGATTTGCAGTTGTTTTTGGATAAATGATCATTTTGCCTCGGCTCTGAATAAGTTGATTGTCTGCCCAGCCGATTAGTCTCTTCATCAACAAAATGAATTTAATCCAACATTCCAAACACAAATTCATAACCATGAACCTTGATAAAACTTCATGTTTCCTAATTAAATGCACAAATTGTAATGAATGACTCAAACCACCATCACCACCTATCTTAAAGCTTCAACCACAGATTCAATTCTCCACCAACACAAGGAATGATATTGAGTAAAAGGAGCTACCTTTGTTGATGTGATTGAGCTCCACGCCATAGGTTGGAAAAGTTATCATATCCCACTTGGCCTCCAGCATCCAAGAAAATAATTCAAGCATAGTCTTGGAGTTGACATTAAAAAACTACACACCCATAAAACTTTCAAACAATCAAAGTAACATTAACCTCCTTCCATTTATGAAAATATTAGCCAAGTACATCATTTGGAAAGAATGTGGCTCAATTACTTCCCGATTGATCTTTCGAGTAAGCAAAATATCTTTAGCTAACACATGAACATCCCAAATAAAATTACTATAAGAGATTCATTCTCACTATACTCTGACGTCAACAGAAGCAATATGAGAAACCCATGACAGAGCAACCAGAGAATACTATCAGAGAAAAAAAGAATTAACTTGTGACAACTCCAGAAAAGACGACACAAGGTCGATAAGTCGATTGATTTGCTCCCGGGGCAATAGCTTATTCCGGCTTCGATTCCTTCTCACACCTTCGGCTACCTCCAACGAGGACCTACAAAACAGAGAAAACAAAAAAAAAGAAAAAAATAGAATAGAAAAAAACTTCAGTCACTCATTCACCAGATCGCTATCAACGAGGGATCAACGGTAGCATTCACAGGAACCTTCTGAATGTGTGATTGGAGCTGGGAAAGGAGGTTCTCGGCGGTGGCTGAGTTGCGAGCGAAGGCTTCTGAGCTCCGCTCCAAGACATCGGAGAGCACAACTGAGCAAAGTGGCGCCCATTTCTGCCCAGGTTTCAAAGAGGGAACTTGAATTCCCCTCCTCCATGATCGATTTGCATTGAATCTTCTAAGCATTTTATGTGTTTGTTCCCTTTTCTTACGATTTGATCAAGATCCGTCGAGCGAGGCGAGGGAGAGGCGAGAGAGAGAGGCGCGGGATCGACCAAGGGCAAGAGAGACTGAGCGAGCTAGGGAGGAAACGGACAAGAGAAGGGCGCGAGAGGAAATAACTAGTCGAACGCACGTCGAAGATGCGGGTCGGTGGATCCCGCGGCTCGCCTATCTGCGTTTCTCGATAATTTCCCCCAATGCCCTAACCAAATGTCAAGGCCATTTTCGACGCCCGCAGGTATAAAGTGCTGCCCCGAATGGCCCTAAGGCTGAACCACTCAATGGGATGTCTCAAAACAATTCCTTTGAGTGAAGGTGTTTCTTAACATTCAAGTGTCTTAGGGTCTGTTTGGGGCAGCTGCAGCTTATCCAGCTTCTGCTGATAAGCAGCTTATCCTGATAATCTGCTGATGACCAGCTGATCCGGATAAGCTGTCTGACTGTTTGGTTAACGCGTCTGGAAAACAGCTGATTGTGAAAAATTGACCCTTTTGCCCCTGGTCTGAATAAGCAGTTCAGCTGTTTGGTTTGTGCGTTTTGTAAACAACTTATTTGTAAATTTTTTGAGTTGAATGAATAATCTGTGTGCAGAATGTTATTTTCTCAAATGTGTAGAAATGAAATTGCAAAAAAAGTTTAATAATATTTATATAACTCAAAAAGGTTATGATTACATCAACAAAACATATTGATATAAAGGAAAGTTCAATACACATTTCTGGATCTCTAATATGGATTATAGAAAGACCCCAAAAAAAAGAAGAAATAACACGTTAAAATTACAAGGAAAAATATGACAATATTAAGTTTAACATGTAAAGCCACATCATGACGAATGTTGCCCGTTTCTGATACCTCAGATCCCCGAGCAAGCGTGTCTGAATGGGGTGCGGTATACACGGAAGAACTCGAACCATATGCGGTGGTCTCCTGTTGTGGTACTCTCGAACTCCTAGTACCTGTGTCCAATTGGGATATTGTAGAGACAGTTGTATTGTCCGTCCACCTAAAGAATTTACAGTCTTCAGGTCCTTGTCCCCAACGCGGGCACCTGTAAAATTGCCTCCCGTAGCTACGTGCCTGGCGTGACGTTAACAGCAACGACGGTAGTCCGCAATGACACATCACTTTCTCGACCTTCCCGTAGTGTCTGGAACTCATTCTTCTGCATTTTAAAAAATAGAATCGATCAGTCCAAAAAATAAGGAAATGTAAAAAGTAAACTTACCAAAGTGTAGATCCAGAGATTGCTGACAACAAATTTACGTGGCCGTCCAAACTGCCCACTCAAAAACAGCAGTTGCACCCGACTTCCAATCTGCTTAGGTACAATGGGTGGATCCAAAATGTGATTTGAAAGATTTGAATGGAGTAAATGTAAAAAATAAGGTTTGGATGCTATGTATAAATTTGGGAAAACTAAAGCCTGCATTCCAAGCATTTTATATGCTGCTAACCACATAGTCACTGCTTAAGATTATCTACAAATGAGCGCATACTCGGTTCATATTAATATTCTTCATAACAGAATCACATAAAAAATTGATAAATAACAAGTAGATATCAATCATTGCAACCATCATGGATCCAAATAAAGCATATGAAAAAACTTCAAATACTTTCTACATTGTTGTTCTAAATTCGACGAGAAGGGAACTGCGTTGCAGATTATTGCTTGTGAAATTTCATTGCAGATATTTACAGAAAATCCGTGTTGTTCAATTGATGAAACCGGGCTGCCCTACAGAAGGGTACATAATAGGATCAAAGCTAGCATTTAAGGACACTTCTTATGTATTTACATATAGAACACCTAAACATTCCTTCATACATTTATACCACTCAAATCTCTTACATAAGATAAAAATACCAACAGATATTCATGTCAATAATTCGCCATACAATTCCAGAATCAATAACTGTCACAAGTATGGGTGACGTTCAAGTCCACCCTTGCCTGCAACTTGGAATCATTATAATGGGGTTTAGATGACCTGCTCCCAATTTAACATCAACACTCAATATTCTCATCCAGGCTACAGCCAAACAATGCGCCTTACTATTAGGAAAGTGTGAGTTCAGTCTCATTCATATGGTTGGCATTAGTGTTTAAATAAATTAAACCCAAATAAGAAAATTATATTAGAAAACTTAAGAGATGCATCAAATTATTTCTTACCCTAAACAACATTCCAGCATAACCAAATTGAACAATGTGCCAACTGGAGAACAAATACAAATTGGTCATAACATAGTAGTGGTTGCCATCCAAGCTACATACATAGCTATGGGGCCATCCAACATATCTAAACTTTGACATAGGTATAAAACAAAATTGCCAAGAACCTCAACACACACTTGCACGCATGCCCCCCCATACTTTGTGCATTTACATACCACCCAGTTCTTATATGCTAACATATCTAACAACTAAACTTTGATTTCTACATTTATACCTTCCAAATCTTCATATCACATAAAAAGTGAAATACACCTTCATGCATGGGTAAGATGGCATGTATGAGAAAAAATAATCGTTGATAGACATTAGATATCTAAATACATCAGAATTCAGTTGTATGCAGGTAAATCTTCCATAAATTTGTTATCTCCAAATTCAGAAAAGCCCTAAATTTGATGTAAATAAATAAGAATTTAGTGGCATGAATCTAAATATTCCAAAATCAAATCTTAAATCAGCTGAGCCTGCAGGATGTCCCCATCAAGGCATCCAGATGAGTTGCAGGCCACCAATGCATCTGCACAAGCTATCATGGCAAAAGCCTGAATGAAAACGTTGGTATTTACAGAAAATTGAACCAAATCAATTTATGTGGGGAAACAAGAGAAGACTGATAAACTACAGCATTAAGCCAGCTTATAGAACAATTTTGTCTGCATTAATACAAAATTAGAAATAGGATAAATTCCACAGCATTAAGCCATTTTAGCCCACATGAACTGAGAGCAAAGACCATAGAATATTAGATCTCTCATCTAACCGTACCTGT